AATCCTGATCTTATTGTTTTAATAAACAAAATTACTGGTCACGTGACTTGTAATCATTTATGAAAAGCTCTGTAGTTTCAATTTGTACAAAGATAACTGCTTAAGTATACCTACCAATGTAAGTGAGATAGCAGTTTTCCTTGAATAAAATTTTGATTATTTGTCCTAATAAAATATTTTTGACTTCTTGACCTGGTTTTTTAAAAAGTTAAGGCGCAGGGAAAGGACAATTAATAAACAATAAACAATTCTAGTTGTAATATATTTATTCTTCTATTTCTCTATTTGTGTGACATATTTTACAAATTGTTAAAAATTATGTACAAAGGAATAACTTCTAAAATTTCTACACATTCAAATTGAGATATATATTATTTTACAATAGAGGTCATGAAAGGCACATATACGTGTATTCTTTCATACACATTTTTAAACATAAACAACACTCGTAATTAAGTAGGGAAAACATGACTTTAGGAAATTAATCACACAGTTTTTTTTAATCTTTTTAATTTTTTTCTAAAACATGCATTTTTTTAAATATTTATTTCCCATTTCTTATTTTATAACAGTTACAATTAGTTAACAAGTAATGATACCTACTTATTTTTTTCACAAGAATTATTTCCGGTTTTTCTATAAATTTTTTCTAATTTTTTTTATGACACATAACCTACAAGGATTAAAGTAAGATATAATAACATACTAAACTCGAATAATTAATATACAAAAATAATATATTATTTACTAGTGTAATAAACAATGTGTCTCATATAGGGAATATCTGTTTGAGAATATATATAGGGAGGATGAATAATTCTCGCTGTTTTCCAACAGATGGCGCTACCAGAACTGCAAGCGTGTATATTCAGTGTGTTATTTCGCCGAAGTGTAATCTACTTTTTTTTCAAAGCTTCATTTAAATTTTGTGCCAAAAAAAGAGTATTTGCCTCGAATTTTATTGCAATACTTTGTTCAAAAGAAATCTGCAGTTGAAACACACAGAATTCTTGTTGAGACTTCCGGCGATCATGCCCTGTCACAAACAACATGCAGTGATTGGTTTAGACGCTTCACAAAGAATGATTTTGATGTTGAAGATAAAGAACGCTTTGGCGCGCAGAAACAATTTGAAGATGAAGAATTAAAGGCATTACCTCAAGAAGACTCATGTCAGACACTAGCTGAACTTGCAGAATCATCAGGAATTGATCACACAATAGTTTCGAGACATTTGAAAGCATTAGGACTGATTCAAAAGCAAGATCATTGGGTGCCATACGATTTGAAACCGAAAGACTCGAACAGCATCTTTGCACGTGTGAATAGCGTATTTACACGTGTGAACAGCGTCATTACACGTGTGAACAGCATCTTTTGCACGTGTGAACAGCTGCTTCAATGGCAGCAAAAGAAAGGTTTTTTGCATCGTATCATAAGTAGCAATGAAAAATGGATATGCTACGATAATCCTATGCATAGAAAATTGAAATGAAGCAAGGTCTGCATTTGGTGGGACCAACTGGGTGTAGTTTATTATGAGCTCCTCAAACTGAGTCACGGAAGATCGCTATTGACTACAATTGATGTGTTTGAGCGAGCATGGAAGGAAAAATGGTCGCTATGAGCAGATAAAGACACAATAAAGCGACCACATGTTGTGAAATCGGTGAAACTTGGAAAGGCTCAAAAACCCCACTAGACATTGTGCCTTCTGATTATTGCTTATTCCGATCGATGGCACATGGCCTGGCTAAACAGTACTACCATTCTTATGAAGATGCCAGAAAATGGGTTGATTCTTGGATAGTCTCATAAGACGTGTCGTTTCCGACGTGGAATTAAAATGCTACCAGAAAGGTGGGAAAAACGAACGATGGGCAATGCTTTCAATGACATGTTTTTTACAATTTTTTTAAAATAAACTAATTTTCAAGAAAAAACCTCGAGAACTTATTCAACATCCCATTATAATGTGAAAAACAAACAAAATATAAAATTTTCTCTTTAAATTATAATCACAATTTTCAAGACTTGGGCAAAATTAATATTCAGTGATTAATTTTCAATTTTTAAATTTAAAGGACACTAATATCTAGGCATTTCCTCTACGACAGGACACCCTGTATATACATTTCTTAAAGTCATGTTTTATTGCACTTGAAATTAAATAGAACCGACTTAAAATTGACGGGATGGTATTGGAATGATTTTTGTTTTTTCACATTTTAAATAGTCTAGTAAATATATGATATATCGAGAAAAAACTAAGAAATTGATGATATTTTTCATGTAACTTGATATGTATTTTTTCAAACGTTGAATATATAAAGATAAAAAAAATTGAGGGTTTTGCCAGTTTCATTTCTAATTTTTTTACAGAAATATTTTTTTATTTGTATGCAGGTATACACGTTCTTGATTCAAATTTACGGGGTTTCCAGGAAACGATGGGAGATTGCCCGAATTTGAATAGAACTTGCAAAAATAACGTCATAAGATTAAATCCTTTTTTTTGGGCGCACCCTGTAGTTATTAGTTCTTGAAGATATGAGGAAATCGAGTTTTTTGTTATAATTTTTTGTTTTTCATTAAATTTGGATAATTTTTATGTAAAAGCTGTTATTTGAAATTTTCTACATATATATTTAATTTACCAATAGCTATTTCGAGGACCTGGGGGCAAAGCACCCTCAGTAGTTTTGGCACCCAAAAAAATTTTTAGGCTTACTTTTTAAATTTTTTTTTGTTGTTTTTAAGACGTATAGTTTTTTATGTGAAAAAAGTATACTTGGTTATTATCGATACAACAAATTGTTAAGAGGGCTCTACAGCAAATAGGCAACCAGCAATACATTTTTAAAGATTTTATTACACAGTTTGTCCAACTTTAAATATGAATTAATGTACAAATAACAGACTTTCTTCCATTTTAACGCAGTTTTCTTTACACCAAAAAGTAGTTTGAGTTTCAAACTAACTCCATTTTATAGAAAAATTGCGTTAGAATGGGAGAAAGTCCCAACATATATGCATTAATTCATATTTAGACAAACTGTGCACTAAAAACTATAAAAATGTATTGTTGGTTGGCTATTTGCTATAGAGCCCTCTTAAGCAGAGAACGCATTAGGCGATCGCGGTCCCGTCACATCGTGGTCCGTTCGGGGATGAACTGATCGCGGTCTTTTACAAAATCAGTCGCATTTGGCACACAATACTGCTCGCGCTCTTCTTTAAATAGTTGAAGTATTGTTTTAGCAGTTAAAAAATGAGTGGAATGAGAGGAAGCTCGTCTCGATCGCATCATGGTCTCCCGGGATTCTTTGGAAAAGATCGGTGTAGAACGCGATGCGAGCGTGACAAGCTCAGGAATGTCTAGTGCGAATGCATATGTCATAAAACATGCGAAAGAACTCCACTGCGCGCAATTGAGACTAGCACGGACTGCAATGCGATGGGTTCGGTTCTTTGTATCGGTATCAAATAAGCACACATTTTTTCATTTAAAAGTGCGATAAAAATCTAAGAAATAGGCCTCTAAATTTGTTTGGGCTTCAAATAAAAGTGTCATTCGTAATACGCATGGAGAGCCACGTGGCCTCAGCAACTCCGAATACTGAAATCCGATTTTACAATCGTCGTTACGATAGTGTTTACCTGTTATCTGCGGTGTTTACAATAGTTTTTTAGTAGTTAGTGTCAAAAATGATTTGCGTGTATAGCAACGTGCAGTTGATGGATATCATTTTAATTTATGGTGAAGCAAAACAACATTTGTATTATGGTGAAGCATTTGTGTTATGGTGAAGCAAGACAACATTTGTTCGTATGAACTGAGTTAGACGAACCCAAATGTGTTTACACGTCAGTGGATAAAATTTTGAACACTACTTGATTTCTTTCCTTGGGAAATTTTTTGTCCATTCANTAATGTAAAACTATAAGTGGTCTAACTGCTCCAGACGTATATATTCGCACGCGATAAACAATTGCGCACGGCGCGGTAGCTACGTTCAGACGTATTGCGCAGCGAAAGGGTTAAGCAGAGAACGCATTAGGCGGTCGCGGTCCCGTCACATCGTGGTCTGTTCAGGGCTGAACTGATAGCGGTCTTTTACAAAATCAGTCGCATTTGGCATTCGTACACAATCCTGCTCGCGCTCTTCTTTAAATAGTTGAAGTATTGTTTTAGCAGTTAAAAAATCAGTGGAAAGAGAGGAAGCTCGTCTCGATCGCATCATGATCTCCCGAGATTCTTTGGAAAAGATCGGTGTAGAACGCAATGCGAGCGTGACGAGCTCAGGAATGTCTAGTGTGAATGCATACATTATAAAACATGCGAAAGAACTCCACTGCGCGCAATTGAGACTAGCACGGACTGCGATGCGATGGGTTCGGTTCTTTGTATCGGTATCAAACAAGCACACATTTTTTCATTTAAAAAGGCGATAAAAATCTAAGAAATAGGCCTCTAAATTTCTTTGGGCTACAAATAAAAGCTTCATTCTTAATACGCATGGAGAGCCACGTGGCCTCAGCAACTCCGAATGCTGAAATCCGATTTTACAATCGTCGTTATGATAGTGTTTACCTGTTATCTGCGGTGTTTACAATAGTTTTTTAGTAGTTAGTGTCAAAAATGATTTGCGTGTATAGCAACGTGGAGTTGATGGATATTGTTTTAATTTATGGTGAAGCAAGACAACATTTGTATTATGGTGAAGCATTTGTGTTATGGTGAAGCAAGACAACATTTGTTCGTATGAACTGAGTTAGACGAACCCAAATGTGTTTACACGTCAGTGGATAAAATTTTGAACACTACTTGATTTCTTTCCTTGGGAAATTTTTTGTCCATTCATTTTTTATTACACTTTACCGCCCTATCGGTCGCTGACTACATGCTTTGCCATGTTCAAAGTCAGGTTTTACAGTGGACCAGTTTCCAGTGCCGTGCAGAAGTGCATTTTTAAATCATTTTTGAACTGCTCTTTTGATTTCTTCTTTACAAAATTGTATTTGCAAGTCCCATGTATATCAATAAAAAATTGTTTTTGGATAAGTTCTGAATCACCATGTATATGAACTTGCTACGTTATTTTTGCAAGTGCTATCTAATTTCGAGAGATTACGCGCCACTTGCTGGACACCCTGTATCAGTAATGTACGTCATGCAAAAGTAGTTTAAACTGCTTGTTCTAATTGTTATGGGCGGGGCCCTATTTATATACATAAAAAATGCACAGATAATATTTACTAGACCATATCGTAAGACGTTTCGAGCTCGGAAAACTGAAAATCATCTTTTATACATTCAGTCCATGTATTACAGATATTTTACCCTACGTTTTTTTTTTATCGATATTTTATCCTTATCTTTAATTCTATACAGTGTGCAAATACATTATAAAATGTTATCTATATGTATATCTCTCTACTTAGCTATGTATGTCCAATATCCCATTATTAATATTCCTTTTTTTAAATTATAAATCACATTTTTTAAAAACTTAAATTAAATTAACCTACTGAGGTATTGCGTAAACGTTAAATAAAAATTGTACAATACCTATTTTGTATTTACTGCAGGGGTGGATCCTAAAAGCAATTTCCAAGGTTAGGCTACAAACCTCCCATAACTGAATCCAACGTACCGAAAAAAAAAATAAACAGGTCAGAAATTACTTTCGGGTATCCTAAATTATTTACTATCACTATCACAATATGTGACAAAATATCTTTAGAACCTAGACTCGATGCCTTGGTCTTGCGAACCCTCATACTAGGGTTTCAAACGTTTGAAGCCGGCTCCATCCTGACCTAACTTGAGCTCCTCGTACAGCGTCGGGTTGACTTCTTGCTGGGCGGGGACGTGGAGCGCCTCGTTTTTCCAGCCTTGTCCTCCGGAAGCGGAGGACACGGCAATGCCGTTAGCGGTGCCGTTTGGAATGGGTGCGGAGTCGGTTTGGCCTTGCGGTACCTGGAAATGAAACGCATTAGGATGGCAAAATACCCAGGTTTCGCCATTTAAAACTAAAATCCCAGTAAAATATTACCTGAATATGATCCATATTGACTTCCCTCAGGTAGCTCGGGTTTTCGAATGCGATACCGTTAGAATTCTTGACTCCTAACATCTTTTTAGTCCTCACAAACCATACGGCGGCAGCGAATATGGCCGCTACAACAACCAGAGCTAGAATTACGGCCACCACGACTCCGACATGACCATCTTGGCCGTCCTGGCTGGCAGCGGAAGTAACGTATTTATCGCCCATGGTGAACTTTAAGGTCTCGGAGTGTAGGGAAGTACCCTTGCTGTTTCCGGCCTTCACAAACGCTTCGTAAGTTGTTCCAGCTGTAAAAAGGGGTGAATAAAGTGGAAGATTTATGTATTATGTGACACACACACACAGTCGAATTTTATATTTTGTCTATTTTCCAAACTATCTTGTATAGTCTGTTGAAATAAAAAACATTTTAGGTTTAAACCACATAGGTATTTTCTTTGAATATAGCATGAATTCCACACAATTAAAGCATATTCCAATTTAGGGAGAAAAATGCATTGAACGATAAGGACACTGCTTTAATTCCCGTAAATTGCTGTGAGTTCCTTAAAGAATTGAAACGAAGGTTTTTGTATGTTTCATGCTGAATATTGTTGATACGTTCTATAAAATTTAATTAAATTATTATCAACGGTATAACTATAGGACTGGTTTTCTTAGTGAACGACATCGAATCACATTGAAGAAGTTTAAAGGTAATAAATTTGGAGCACATCGATGAAGAATATCATCAAAAAAATTATTTTGTGAAAACTATCGAACAAATTTTAATGAAATTTGGTGTGTTGTTTTATTACCACCTAAAGTTTTTTTTTTACCAAAATTAGAGTACCCTCAGAGCAATTCAAATATTTTTAAAAAATTATCCAAAAATTTTCATCTATTATTTGCTATATTGCAACATCGGTAATCAATGTTTAACATCTTTAACTTACAGTAAGTATATTGTGCAAAATTCAATTCTAAAACTTTTCTTACTCTTCAATATTCTTCCAAAATGCATAGGTTCCATGATATAAGTAAAAAACTTAGATAAAATAGGTACTTTTTTAAATTTTTTGAACATTTTTGCAACTTTGAAAATGTTCCAGACCTCGCCCAGATCTAGGGATCTACACTTTTATTATGTGAGTTGTACTGAAGGTAATCCAGAAAAAAATTGCTTGCCCCCTCTCACATCCACAAATCCGCCCTAGTCTATAGAAACAATAATGGGCCAGGCACTGATCTTTGAGGAATCAGAAACCACGATACTATCAACTATAACTTTTTTCTGTGATAAACAGTAAGTAAAAAATTGTAGAAATAAATTATTGGAGAGTTTTAACAACAGAATATTAAGGTCCATCCAATCAAAAGCTTTAGAAGAAACCATATAAACGACACTACATCGACTTTTTTATTAATACATGCATCAATTCGCTCAAATATCGAATATTAGTACTTTCACAACGCACATTCTGAGCTGACATAAGAGATGAAGTAGTTAAAATGAACAAATGATTTTTTCTTACCTTTAAGATCAGGTAGTTTCAGCCTGGTATCAGCAGTGTCGATTTTTTGCCTGTGACTATTTGAGACATCGATGGGTTTCCACAAGACTCGGTATTGTTCCACAGTATGAGGATTTTTCAATGGTGGGTCCCACAGTATGTAGACAGAGTGAGCGTCTATGAACTCCACACGAACATTTTGCGGTGGGCCTGGAAGGTTTTCCCTAAGAAAAAAGGACCCTATCAGATAGTGATGTGAGTCTTAGAATGTTTTCGTTCGTTCTCGGAGTAGTTTCACAGATTTTAAAGAATATTTCCTACCCATGAGAAAAAGAAATTTTCTAAAACTACCGTGAACTTTCTCCAAAATTCTGGAGAACGTTCTGCATCAATTTCACATAATCCACACCTATACCAATGTGCTGATACTTTACTACTGGTGCTTGTAATACGTGTTTTTAATGTTTTTCCGTATCTTAAACATTACACACCATCACTCACTTGAAAGAAAAGGTGTGCTTTTTGTGCGAAGGCACAAAAATGATAAAAAAAAAATATTTCTTCACATATTTTTCAAAAATAATTAAAGTGGTGTATCCGTTCCTACGTACAGGGTGATTCACAACTTATCCAAAAAAATTTGGGAATAGGTGCGGCAAGAAAAATGGAGTTAGTATCTTAAAAAAATTTTGTAAAATCCTTATAGTTTCAGAGAAAAAAAAACTTTCTACCACTACATGGCTGGACAACTGTAGTCTCTAGTCATTCGTGTTGTGCGCTTTACGCAATGCACCTGGAGAATCACGTGGCTCCAGCCACTCCAAATACTCAAATCCGATATGACAATTAGTATTAACGTCATTGCGATAGTATTTACCACAATTTTTTAGTAGTTAGTCTCTACCGTCATTCGCCCACATGCCCCAGGTGATTCCAAATTCTAAAATACGATTTTAGTACTATCGTTGTTGCGATAGTGTTTACATTAGTTTTTCAGAAGTCAAGAATGGCTTACATGTATATCGAAATTTTGGGCCAGTTATTTTCTTGCACTTTGCATTAATATGTTGTATTTGAAAATGATATTTAATTGCAGTAGATTTTTACCTTTACTTAGATAAATCATTAGCATACATTTCATAATTTTTTATCAAATGTCTCCACAGTGTTCAGATTTGTAATATTAATCAAATATTAAGCGTGATTTATGTTTTTTAAATGAAGAATATTAATAAAGAATTGGTGGAAAGTATTTAGTTATCTCCACGAAACTATTGGTAGCAGAGCATTAAGTAGTGGAAAGGTATTTGGTTATCTCCACGAAAACACACAGATATTTTAAAAAAGGCAATTTTTTTAAATTTCAACACCCTTTATCCCTAAAACTACCGAATTGCTTAAAAGCAGATTAACTTAAAGTTGGAAGTAATTAATTAATAATACAGAATTTATGAGAATTTAGAAGCTTTGAAAAAAAAATTGGACCAAACACGAAAAAAGTCAAAATAACAACTTTAATTTCTCTGTATTATAATCTCTCGTGATAGTTTGTCAAATTCTCGTTCATTCTTAATTTATTCTAGTTCGTTCAAAGGAATATTTACCACAACGAAATTCTCGAGAATTCCGCAACGCTAATAAAAAAATATTTACACCAGTTAAAGTTTTGAGTTAAATTCTTACCTTCCTTCGTGGAAGCAGCTCATAATCTGCTTGGTATAACTCAAAATGCACGCCTTGCTGTTCAAAATAGGCTCGCCCCTACACCAATCCAAGCACCTTCTGGGCACGTTGACGTGCGCACAACAACTTCGGTGGTCCGAGCCGTCAGCTGCGCATTTCATCAACTTATCGAAATCTTGGATACATTCCGGTTTATCGATAACCGCATCCATGTCTACATGGAATGAACAAGCGTCCATGCAAGTCGAAGTCACATTCTGTTCGATACAGCACTGAGTCACGTTATTGACAGCCGCCAAGTTCCTTATCCTAACCGACACGGGTTGTGTGGAGCTACCAAAGGCGTTTTCGGCGTGGCAGTAGTATTCGCCAACGTCCACGTCTGATATCTGCTTGATGGTTAGCTGCATGAGGTACTTGTCCTCCTCGTCTTTCATCGGTCTAGCGCTTATGTCGTATTTTCCCCCTTGGATGACTGGCGTTCTCTCTTCGTGGTTCCTCCAGAATATCATCTTTGGTTCTGGTTGAGCCTCCACCCTGCATTCTAAGGTGACCGAGTCTCCCAGGGTTGTCATCGTGATGCCGCTCGCCTGGATGTGAGGTCCATCTGCAGAAGATGATAATTTTTGTGAGTGCGGTTTGTAAAAATAAGGATGGATACAGGATCTCCTGCATTCAGGGTGTAAGTCTATATGGGGTTTAATTTCTTATGGATAACAGTTTACTTTCCCAAGAATAGTAATCTGAAATATACAGGGTGTGAGAAAGTAAAATAACTCCCTTGTTACTCAATACAAAAAAAAAGGTTATATAAAAGTTATATTGTTAAAAAATAAAAGTTGAAGTGGACCGATATGTGAATAAAACAGAATAATAAAATACAGGGTATTCCATTTGAAAAATTTTAGAAAATCAAATTTAAACTTTCTTAAAATGATTGTATTATAAAAAATGCCCTGTATAAAATATCGATATTAACTAATATAGGAGTCTTTGCCTAACAATTGCCTATAACTCTGTCAAATATTTTTGCTCCAAGTGTTACTAGTTGAAAGTTAATACAACTTCTTCGAGGTCATGTTTTTTCCAAAATTCGAAGAATTTTCTACATAACTTGGCAACCCTGCAATAGAATGTTAAACTGTTTATATGCCATATATAGAATTTTCTCAGAAATCCATATGTTTAAAAATATACAGGGTGTTCCATTTAAAAAAAGTAATATTTGGCATGTCCCGTTTTTTCTCATCGCCTTGTGTGTTTCAAATTAATTTTTTCCTTTAGCTTTTTTGATTCTGTACAACTTTTATATAAACTTCTTTTCTGTATTATGAATAACAAGGGAGTTATTTTACTTTCTCACACGTAACACACACAAGTAGTTAAGTTTTAATTTGTTTATTAAACTGCACTTAAACTCTGGTTTTATAATAGTATTTGTTACTATTTTTTTAAAGCACTGTGTTTAGTTTGTGAATTCAGTATCACTGGCCTCTGATATTGACTAGTTCAGATAAAGCAAATCATATCAATCCACCTGATGTGATATGACAACAGGGTGCTTGACGGGCACACAACAAAAGGCCAACATTAATTTGACGAAGATATATGTCAAGTCAAATATATGTTACCATTTCATTTTTTAAAGTCATTTTAGTTTTCAGTTTATGTGTTTGTAACGGAGTAGGTAAAATCGGGACTTTCTGTGTAAGATATTAGTTTTTACTAAAGATGTGCCGCGGACATGTCGTGAAAAGTGGACATGTCCTGAGGACACATTTCAAGATTGAAAAGTTGTATGCGAATGTGCGGAATTATGTTGCATTCATAATTCCCGCAAAAAATTTTTGAGGTTGGTACATGTAAAAATTAAGTTATTTAGCCATTTTCTTGTAATTTTGTTGGTAATTGTTTAACTGAAATTGACATTTTAAAAATATAACCTCTTTTATATTTATATGTCCACATTTTATTATTTTTGGCAAAGTTGATTCTTAATTTAATATTTAATACAAAATAGTTTATAAATGAAATATGACGCCAAAATCAACAGTTTGGTTATATTTTTCTGAATTGGGTAAAAATCATTATAAATTTAACTTCTGCTCAAAAACAATTTAAGATTTCCAGTAGGATGGAAAAACATTTAAATAAGTGTATTGGCTGTCTGGGGAAAATTAGAAACCAGTTTATAATAATGTTTAAAGGTAGGTAATAAGTAAAATATATTGACACATACTCATTAGAATAAAAGTAATATTTTGCTTTGTGTAGCCTCAAGCAGTGACCTGTGAAAACACATCACTCATAAGATGCCTTATTAGATTCAAGGTCTAAAGTACTTTTCCCGACTTGTCCGGACATTTCATCGACATGTCCAACGGACATGTCCGTAACACACTTTTCCGAAATTTTCCATCTCTAGTTTTTACTAAAATGTAACATTTTGATTTTATAATAAAGTTTAAAATGGTGTTTACTGAAGTTTTGTGTAGTGTATGTTATTTATTTGTGTAGTTACATTACGGTGTGTTTGTGTGTCTTCATTGTTAAATTTCTGTGATTATGAAAAAACAGTATAAGAATCAAGAAAGATGAGATTTGACAACAAAATATGATGTAGCTCTCTTTTTCAGAAGTTACTCTGAAACTGGAGATCTACTAAAATATACAAAAATCTGAACAATTTCAACAGGAACGGTAGCAACCCACTGGAACGCCAACAACGCGTACGAGGTCACCCACCGGAACGTCACGAATCAGTGATCACATCAAATATAAATAGTGACAAGTTTAGTAGATCTTCAGTTTCAGAGTAACTTCTGAAGAAGAGAGCGATTAGTCTCTCGAAACGTCACGAGTTGTAAACTGACGACGTGGCAACTAGCTCGGAAATCATTCAACCATTAACGACAGCCACAGAAGCTTACAAACAAAACTAAAGAAAATTTAGTTTTCATGACGGCATTTTAGAAAATGATATGTGTTTCTAAATGTCAAAGGTAGCTTCCGTATTCTGCTCCGATTTTTGAGGATCAACATTTTTTTAATTTCGGCGCCATCTAGCAACAAATGAAATAACTGTGGATAGATGTAAGTTTAATGCAGTTAGTCATCTTATTTTGACTCCATGAATCGGTAGTGACGGGTTTTGCAACCCCATACACCAAAAACCCTCAATAATAGTAAAATTCCTCTTGATATGTTTAAGCTTGGGTTCAGAAAATACTAGATGGCGACACTCCTAAAAAATCCGTGTTACCCTTTAAATATAGATAAAAGTGACTTAGGAGGTGGCGAAGTAGTATATTCATCCCTTTTGACTATAAATATGTCATTATAAGGATACCACTTACGACTTATGGTAATTTTTCTCGACGCCTGCATGGGAGTGCCATACCCATTGTCGGCATAGCACGAAATCTGGTCCATATCTTTGGTGACGTTGTGTATGACCGTAACCATGTGTCTCGTCGTTTCTTGTCTCACGAGCCGTCCGGAAATGTACAGGGAAATGGTGGGCATGGGAGTGCCCATGGCTATGCAGAGGATGGTCATACTGCTTCCTTCTATGACTAAGTTGATGGGGTGCACGGTTGGCGGCTAAAAAATTTCGTAATATGCGTTACTATAAGTCCGCTACCAACGTAAAGATTAATAATAGACAGTAATCGCAAAAAAAATAATAATGTAAATCAAGCACTTTGTTCATCCAACTAGTTCGCATATTATACGAGAATATAATATCTGTAGATACCTCTACGAACGCCGGATAGGCAGGATCGGTCCAAGCGATAAGAGTTTCAGAAGGCATACTGACACCTTTATCTGTCACTGCTTGAACGTAAACAATATACTGGGTGTTGGGGTTCAAACTGCCTATCATATAAGAGGTGATTGTACAGTTTTTGATATGGAACTGATCTTCGGACGTGGATTTGTGATATAACCTAGAAAAACGACATTTAAGAAATTTACACCGTATTAGCCTTCACAAATGATTTAAAATGACTTCATTATCTATTTTTCAAAGTTACTGATCTTAATGTTTCAAGTAATTACTTGTAGGTTATAATTTCCGAGGGATGACTGAATTCCGGTGGTTGCCAAGTGATGGTGACCCAAGTGGCGCTGTGACTGGCCACCGCTAGGGAATGGGGAGGGGACGTCACCCCGTTGACCCATTTGCTTTGGTCTGGAAGCGGTTTTGTCGTTAGTTTCGTATTTTAAAATGAATTCCGATAAAGCTTACCCGATTTGACTAGGTTTATGACTATGATGGAGGAAGGCAAAGATGTACCGTATTCATTACGAGCTACCACAAAAATGTGGTACATATGGTTTTCTTCTAAGCCGGTGATGGTCGCTGTGGTACTGGTTATGTTCATTTGCTAGAAGGAATACAATATTTGAACAAAATAGATATTTAATTCCAACTGATGATGATGTCATATTAATTTCTAGCTTAAATAAAAGTGGTTCAAGAACATACGTTATCTAGTTTTAATAAAGTCTCGTGCATCGACGTATTATCTACTTTCTGGTAATGTATGACATAGTCGGTGACATTAGTAGAATTTTCAGGGGGATTCCATTCAAGAAGAATACTGTGTTCGTCCACCACAACCCCATGTAATGCGGAAACGGGACCAGGAAGATTTCCGGTTCCTACAAATATATAGCGATGACATTTAAATTTGAATAAGTTAAAAATTTCTAACCTTCCTCGAAACACTGGGCGATATTCCCTATGTAAGGAACGCAGGTTGTTGCCGTTACTAAAAGGGAATCGAGTATGACACCTGAGCAAAGCGACAGACAATTTGGTGGGACACCGCGTCTGCTGCAACATGTACCGTGGTTTCTGCCTCCAGCTCCGCATCGTAGGATCTTGTGGAATTCCCCACCGCAAACTCCAGCCAGAAGCTTAATATCTGTCATTTTGGCATCATATGAGCACAGGGGAAGGCAGACAGTACTGAGATGAGCATCTATACAGCATGCGGTTACGTTGTATGCTGAGGCTGTAGCTTCTTCTATCTTCTCTTCTTCGATCTGAAATAAAGAGATGTAAAAGTAACAAAGCTTTCGGTTTTATCTCATTATAAGACAATTTCATAGGTGATGATGGCTTTTCTTTCTCTCTACTTTAAACTTTCAATATAAGTAAATACTTTTAGGAAAATATGGTTTATTTTTATATATATTCAAGTAGCAATATTAAAAATTAAATAATGCTTGTTATTTTATGCTTCACAACAACTATAAGTATGTATTTTTAGTGTTTTGTTCTTCCATATTGCGAATGCTTTATTATTTCTTGCTTGGTTGAGGTTGTTTACTACTATCATTAATTTTTCATTGTAATTGCCCAATATGTGTTCGTTTTTATGATGGCTTGTATTAGGTTAGATTAATGTAGGTAGGTTAGAGTAAAATAGGTTAAGCGTTAATTATTATTACTACAATTTTTTTATTTCTACGTCTATGATCTTTGTTTTGATTTTTTCTAAAGACACTATTGTTTTTAATTTGGAACATTTGTTATTTTTAATTGCCTTAAATAGTGGAGTACAGGTAACTTAAAAGTATGCATTATTTCGGAATAATTATCAGAGCCTTTGATTTTCATAAAACCTTTTGCAATCGCCTTAAAATGGCTTATAGAAAAAAGTTGTAAGCTTATACTTGTACGCTAATTATTATTTAATTGTTTAAACAATAAAAAATGGTTTTTCAAAGATTATTTTAAATAAATCAAAAATTTTCAAACCAATTTTAATCAAATTGATACTATAGGGGTTTCGAGGTCACTGAATAAGAATAATGTAACAACAAATTTTAAATTTTATTATAAATTCAACGTTTTGAATAAAACAAAATGAACCTCTTTAAAGTACAGTTTTCAAGCTTTAAAAAATGCTCCTGTAAAGTTGCAATATCATATTTTGAACTAAAGTTATTGGACTTTGAAACGTGACCTAAAAAATCAAATTTGCTTTTTTTTTAAAGTTATTGAATATTTCGTGTGTTGTATTTTTCGAATTAAAATTTTAAGATTTTTTTTTATATCGCTCACTATTTAAAATGCTATCTCAAGAGTAATCTCTGAAAATTTTCGATTTTTATCTTAAAAATTAAAAAAATGGCAGATCTTTAATTAATTTTGTAGAAAATTCTACTGTTACGAAACTTTATTTACACACTATTCCTGTAAATAGTTTTTTCGATTTTAAAATCATGACTTGTTAGCTACGAGATTCCTCTTTCATTTAAATTTTTGTGGACTTAATTCGATCGAATAGATCAAAAGTTATAACAAATTTAGTGGATAGCGAATTACATTTTTGTACGATTTAAAAAAAATCTACAACCTACAGTTTTCATTTTAGAAAATAACTATATACATTTTTTATGTAAAATTTCTCGTTCTCTCGATTGGCGCAATTAGTTTTTTAAAAAAATTGATTTTGTTAAGATATACAATAAACAATAGAATTTTGCAACTAATTTGTTAAATAAATAATCAAGCGTACACTCTACGGTTGCTAACTTATATATGTTGTTGTTCCTAACACCCTCACAAGTGTGTCCTCAAAAGTTATCCGATCTGCTAATTTTTCCAAAGTCAAAATCTTATTTTACTCCACTATCTAAACAGCTAAGAAAAAGAAAAAGGATCTAAACAGCTTGAGTAACTTGACTTACATTATTTTTGTAACACCCTGATAAAAATTATTATTTTGTATTCTTTAGATGTTTGTGATCACATCTATAGCGTCTAAGAATATCCCCTTGTCAGAATTGTCAGGTATTTGTCATTTAAACATTTCAAAAAAATTTGAAAATGCTTGTGTGATTGCCTAGATCAGATTTATTACGCGTTTTTTCAAAATTCTAAGTCATGGATAAAAGCAACTTCTCCGTCAATTTATCGGAAGAGGTTTTAAAAGTGGAAGAAGCCAAGAAACCAAGCTTACCGATTACCAGTCCAAGCAAAGGAAGTAAAGTGAGTGCCGGTAATACTTTGCAATTTACTGATAGCATAGAGTTGGTGGAAGATAACTTTGGGGTATATTACGATGAATATGGCAGCACCAACAACATCAAGCGTTTCACTTGGAAGAACAAGAACAAAATCCAAGTACAAGTGATAAATTATGGTGCTAGAATAATCTCTATGAAAATGCCTGACAGAAAAGGTAACGTTGATGACATAGTTCTTGGATTCGATGACATAGCTGGATATATATACAATAAAGACAAATATTTTGGTGCTACAATTGGTCGAATGAGTAATATCGTCAGAAATAGCACTTTCACCATAAACAACAAACAGTATTGGCTTATGTCTAATTACGGACCACACCATTACAATGGCGGACGGATAGGTCTGGACCAAGTTGTTTGGACTACTTTTGTTGATGATAAAAGAGTAATCATGAGCTATGTTAGTCCTCATATGAAGGAAGGGTATCCTGGAGATTTATTGATAAGAATAATTTTTGAGCTATCAGCAAAAAATGAGTTTAGCATAAGAATGGAAGCACAGTGCACCCAACCTACCATTGTGAACCTCTCTAATCTAACTTATTTTAACCTTGGCGGTCACCACAGTGGCTCAAACGAGTTATACAAGCACATTCTCACATTAAACTGCAACTGTTTCACACCAAACGCAGATGGTATTCCAACTGGGGTGATTATGAATGTGGTTCACAGTGGATTCGACTTCCAAATACCCAAAGTGCTCGGGAAAGTAATGGGAATTGTTCCTAAGGACGGATTTAATCAGAATCTTTGCGTAAATAGAGGCATGGACCAAGATGACTGTTTTGTTGCTAGAGTTCTACATCCTCCAAGTGGCAGATTGCTAGAAATATATAGTAACCAGTACGGTGTTCATCTGCAGACAGCTAATGAATTTGGACATGCGGAAGTAATGACCATGGAACAAATAATAAAAACACCACCGAACACCGCTTCAACCGCTAGCCCAAAATGCGAGGAATCAGAGCCGTTACTAAGGCTATACGAGAAAGTGCACCAAGAAATACAAGGCTCTCTGTCTAAGGATGAAGAGAATACTTTTAAAGACATGTATGACTTGATAAAAAAGATTAAGGCATTCGATAATGAAGCTCCAAATAATACACCAGCTGAGCCTGTCGATGCGACTGCAACAGTTGCCGATGAAGACTTTTTTAGAAAGCATCCATCCCTCTCACATGATGACTTTACATTTACGGAATTACAAATTGATTATCTCAACAACATTTTAAAGGTACTGTGCGATAAATGTGATGAAGATGAGTGTGACGAGCTGAAGGAAATCGTTCAGGTGATTATTTCGTTGGCTAAAAAAAAAGATCAAAAAGGAGACAGTGAGGAGAAACAGGAAGGTGAGAAAACGAAAGATGAAACCCGTGAGGATGGAACCGAAGACAAAATACAAAGAAAAAAGTCAGCTGCTTCTGGAAGTGCAAAAATAAAAGGAAGAAATATTAAAAGAAACTCTATTCCAGATTATTATAAGAATACCAATAAGATTATAGGCAAAGCTGGATCCCATTATAAGACACATGGAGGGATGGCGTTACAAACTCAAAATTATCCGGCCTGTGCTAATTACAAGAACTTTCCGAATTGTGTGTTGAAACCAGGAGAGACGTACGTACATACCGTAACGTACAAATTTTGGATAAGAGCTGGAAATCCAATGAAGTGGATCAAAAGAAATGCCGCAAAATTGTGAATATGGACTAAGTGAATTGGTTTTATTTGTAACAGTGAGGAACTTCTGAATTTGAAATAAACTTGTCAGTAGTGGCATAAACTTTATTACACAGGGTGTCTCATGTGGCTTAAGTGGTAAAGAAATTAACATTTTCTAAAATTTCCCTGAGGACTTTCATGTAAAGTGATGAAAACTAGGCTGATCATTTATGTAATTAAAGATAAAAATCTGTTTGGGTTAACCATAGAGAAACTAGGAGTCATGCTATGATGAAAAACTCCAGAAATTGAAAACCAATGAATGTTTGGAAAAATCGACTGCTCTTATCCTAATTGTGTTTTGAAGAAAAAGACCTCTTCGTTTTATTCAGAAATGAAATTATCTTCAAGTTATTACTCTGTTAAACCTTTATAGCCCAGGAAAAGAAACATTTTGAAATTTATTAATTTTTGTTGGAAAGTCTTGGGAATGATAAAACAAGAGGCGTCTCATCTCTGGGTTCATGAAAAAAGTATAGCGTCATTGTTTTTTATTAACAAATACGTCAAAAATTCGTCATTTTTCGTTCTACGCGTTTTTGTAAAAAAACTATTAATCTTAGCAAAAAATGTTCAAAAGACGATTTCATCTAGAGAAACTCATCTTTAAAATGAGACTTTATAAGTTAAAATTGCTTTATAAACAACAAATTTATTGCAAAATTAAACGGAAAAAGTGCTTTTTCTTTAATTGTTAATAACTTTTTAAATAATTAATAAAATCTTACCAAACTTTCCCAAAATGTGAGTTTTTATATCTTTAAGAGATGTGAAAAAGATGGGCTCGATCGGTCCAATAGTTTTTGCAAAATTCCAATTTTTTATCCCATTTTTGCAAAAAAGGCCCATTTTCAAATGACTATTCCTGGGGCAAGGTTATGACTAAAACATTCTTTATAGGCTTTCTTCAAAGGGACACCAAGTATCCTCTAGTTAAAAAAAAATATATTTTTTTTCAAATTTAGTTGTATATAATTGTCAACAAATAAAAGGCACTTTTTTCCCTAATAAACAAATAAAATAATTCCGCGGTTTTTAACTTTTGAAAGAAGTTATATACACCATTCGAAAGCTTGTAAAAAAACCTACAAATTGAAAAAAAAAAGTTTTTACCACCAATAGGTCCGGAGTTAGCAATTTTTTTTACAACTAAATTTGAAAAAAATTAATTTTTTTTTAACTACAGGATACTTGGTGGCCCTTTGAAGAAAATGAGCCCAAAATGAATGTTTTAGTCATAACCCTGCCTCCTGGAATAGTCCTTTGAAAATGGGCCTTTTTTGCAAAAATGGGATAAATAAATGGAATTTTGCACATCTCTTAAGGATATAAAAACTCACATTTTGGGAAAGTTTTATTTGAACTTATAAAGTCTCATTTTAAAGATGAGTTTTTCTAGATCAAATCGTCTGTTGAACATTTTTTGCTAAGATTAATAGATTTTTTTTTACAATAACGCGTAGAACGAAAAATGACGAATTTTTGACCTATTTGTTGATAAAAACCAATGACGCTATACTTTTTTCATGACCCACGAGATGAGACGCCTCTTGTATTATCATTCCCAAGACTTTCCAACAATAAAATCACGCCCAGTAATTTTCACAATTTTTCGATGATTTTTCACCTTTATTTCTTGATCTATTATTACCTTCATCAAATGTTTCACTAAACGTAAATCAATTCTGGAACTATTAAAATAGCAAAAAGTTCAAGATATATTTTTTAATACAATTTTAAATACAATATAATCATATGAGAACTCAGAGTATGTCAATGGCTCAAAAAATACTTCCACTCTCTTTTTTTTTAGACTTTACATATGATTATGGAGGTGAAGGATCTTATAATTGTTTTTGCAAAACAAGTAGTTCTAGTTATTATAGACATAATAAAAAAATCTGATAGTAATGTAAGGATCTTACTATTATATTGGAAAATATCATTTCTAAATATCTGACCTCAATGGGCTTTTATTCTTAATTAGATAAATATGTAGTCTAAGTTTCATAACTTTGTCAATCATCAGCAGACATTTTCGAAAATGTACTTTTTTCAAATTTGAATAAAACCCTGTACGTACTCTTTTTGATTTTCGTCAAATGTACGGACACCTCCTCCCAGATTTTTGACAGTTATAGGCATATAGTTTTTGTAGCTATTTGAAATTTGATGGTTGCTAATCTAAAGGTAACAAAATATATTTTTGTTAAATGTTGCTAATATATCTGCACTCTAGAAGAAATTTTTAATTACTCAATAGTCACCAATTCTCTTACCAAGCTATCAGTCCTGAAGGTAAGCCTACTGCTAGGCATCCCCACGCCATGAGTATTCACAGCCTCCACATACACCTCGTAGTCCGTCTCGCTTTCCAAACTTTCCAGAATGTACGGACTATGCACCTTTGTTATGGCCCTGTATTCTTCCATCTCATCGGAAACCATGCGGATGTGGACATTATAATAGAGGACAGTATCGCCCAGAGTTTTGGGAGGCGCCCAATGTAGCACCGCAAACTCTATTTCTATGTTGGTTATGTGGACCTGGGTCGGGGCACTTGGTAGGACACCATAGCCTTGGAGGAGGCAGTTGGTATACTCTCCCATGTATCGGAGGCATCTGCAGGAAGACATATGGACACCATTACAAAACTTATTATAAACAAAGCTAATAAAAACAATTTATTATAAAATGAGGAGAACAAACCATGAAGGAATAAGCAAATATGCCGCTGTATAGAACAAAGTCCACATAAATTTAATTAACCTACTCTATTAATTTATTTTATATCTTAAGTAGATTATCTTTTTCTAGTCTCAATTCATTAAAGCTCGTGAAGGTGAAGCGAGAAAAGGCGATTAAATGTAACATGGCCGTTTTTTACAGCTCCAAAGGGTTATTATATTTCCTTTCAGATAGTTTTCCGTGCTGGGCTGTTGAATATTTAAGAAGAATAATTAGTTATTAAAGCATAACTGCGCTCGGCTCTCGTGTTGTTCATGAATATACAAAGAGTGTTTACAAGGGATCATATTCAAACATAAACTGTCTAATGTATTATTTGTTAAAATTTAATATATGAAGCGGAATGCCGGCATGCAGCTGAATATAGATGTAAACGTTCGAATTTCGGTGCGAAGTAATGATAGTAATAAATGCATTAATTTTAGCATAACACAATAACCTATTTAAGATTTCTGAACGTTAAATATTTCAATTAAAATTACAAAACCCATCTCTAATGTTTTAGCTTTTATAATAGTGTCTAGAGGCAGCCAATGTATTTTGCTTAGAGACTTTCAATAAGTGCGCTTTTCTGAATCTGAAATTCTTTTTTTTTTAAATCAAATAAATAGTACTGTTATATTCATGTATTATTATAGCTGTTTTACATTGACAATTTATTCATGAATAAATTCACGAAGTTCTTCATGAATTAATTCACGAATTTGTAAACGGTTTGGTTTTTCACTGCTACATACTTTGACACATGAATCAGCTCTACCAACAAATCAAATGAAGCAAATAAATTTAAAAAATATCACCTTTCCACTCATACTTGTAGTGGTACAACAGCGGTACAGTTTTGACACATATAAAAGTAAAAATATTAGTTTTAGTAAGTAACAAATCATTAAAAACAATACGAAACTAGTACGACGCCACACAATTATATACATATTGCAATAACATAACCTCATTCCTCATTAGACAATCCAAACCACGTGACAAAATCGGAATTCAATATGGCGTCGAGGGCAAACATTTGTTTAATTCATGTCAATGTGTGCTTTGTTAAAAATTTGCGTTTTTCTGTTGGCTTGGTTTTGTTTTTTTAGAAGCTAATATAAGAATCAATTTTCACTTGTATTTTTTAGTAATTTTCTTCTTTTATATATCCATATTTGGCGCCGTTTTCTCGATAAATCATTTAAATGAGGAAAATATTTAGAATTCACTACGTCAGGTAAACAATGAAAGCTAACTTGGTCTCGATTTCCACGACTTCCACAACCCACTACTATGCACGTTACCGGCACTAGTAATACATATCGTTGCGACACAATTCAATAAAAGACGAGTTCCTTAAATAAAATACATGAATAATTCCTTACAAAAAACTCGGTTTAAACGCTTTTAACTAAAAACTTCTGGATTGACTTCAATGCATTCTTAATGTAAACATAACTTGTTTGCCATCAGCGCCATATTGCTTAAAAATTTAACAGGTCGTTGGATTGCCTATTGACTAATTACTGGATCTGAGGCTTGTTAGGTTGGTACTTCTGAACTTCACGAACAAATTGACGAAAATTAGAACATGTTCTAATTCGTCAAGAACTTAATGAATAAATTAATTTAAGTTATTTGACAGCAGATTTGGTCATTACACTTGCCCAATTTCTTGATGAAGCGACTTTATTAATTAATTCATCAATAAATTGTCAATGTAAAACAGCTTTTACAAATATATGAATTGTAGGCAGCCTACAATGCACGTGAAGGGAAATAGTGCCGAGTGCGGATCAACGGAGACGATTTTTGTGAATTTCATTTATTAATTCTTGCTTAAGTTTTCTAGGTTACTTGTTAAGTACTGTTTGTGTGACGAACATCCACTCAACAAAAGTAAATCGCGGCAAATGGTGTGGCATTGTTGGGCATTGTGCATGTGCTGCGCTGCAACTAAAGCGCGCCGTTATTTGAGATTACACACTTAAAATTACTGAAAAAAGGTTAAAAACAGTTTTTACGACGAAATTAAAAAAAACCCTATTGATACGTATTTCTAAAGATCAAAGAGAGCCTGTGTTGAAGATATCTTGAGAACAAAAAACAATGAATCTCGTAATGCCTTGATGATTCCTTTACAATGTCGGGCAATACCAGCAATGTCTCAGCGGTTTGCCCATCATAAAAAAAATCTTAAAAAAACACTCACTTGAAGTAGTTGAAATCTATGCTGGAGACGTTGCCCGTGCACAGCTGCTGGCAGATGTCCGGCAGCCCCCTGGCCCTGCAGCAGGGCGTGTGGTCCAAGCCGTTGGTGAGGCAGCCGAAGGTGTCGGCCGCCCAAGGGGCGCAGATCATCAAGTCGGTGATTTCGGCCGTTGCGGCAGCCGAGGGATCGCACAGCTTGTTGACGCACGTCTTGTGGCCGATGCCTCGGTTGGCGCAGCAGCTGCGTATGTCCGGTAGTTGGGGGGCTTCGCCGACGATCGTGGGCTTCATGTTTCCGGGCGTGAGGGTGAGTGATCGGACGGAGTAGCTCGGCAGGCTGGACCCGTGGTTGTTGAATGCCGTCACTAGAAAAAGAAAGTTAATTTTGTCAGTTTGATTAAAAAAACGTAATCGATTCCTATATGTCTATTTCCTATTAAAAATAGTATCAAACAGACTTACTTTTATTCCAATATATCTTTTAAAACAGTGGAAAAAAGTATTAAGAATTTATACATTATTGAACAAAATATAGATAAACGTAACATATGATCAAAATCTGATCAACTTAATGATCTTTTCAATACCTGAACAACAAAATCACTGATCTTAATACTCAGATTAATATAATCATAATTTTCGAAATTATAAAATACAAATCCCCAGTTGTGGAATAGTAGACTCCAGAATATAACATAAATATAATGAAATTTTCCAGACAACTCTCTTACTCATTGTGCGAATTTCAACTTTTCTATTAAAGCTCTTTAATTAGTACAATGTTTCCGGCAGTAAAATTAAACGAACTACTTTCGTTGAAATTATGTTATTCTGTTAAAAGCAGAATGCCAACAGAGATGTAACTAATTTTAGTGGTCGATTATAAGAAACACTTTCTGAAATATGGATAAGCCTACCTGTGATTTCGTACATGGTGAAAGGCATCAGGTCCTGAAGGATGGTCATCCTCTGGTTACCAGGAACTGTTACTGTTACCGTGTGTGTGGTGGAACTACTATTGGTCTTGGGGATAGCCTCATCTGTTTCCAAAAGGCGATCGTCGAAACTTCGCAATGACGTAACGTTGACCTTGTACATGCTGACAGATTCTGAATTCGAGAGAGGGTAGGACCATTCCACTTTGAGCGATTTTTCTGTCAAAGCTTCCACTTCCACGTTATCGGGTGGACTTGGTAACAGTTCTATAAAATATCAAGTACATTTATATAACAAAAATTCTATCCACGTCATCTTTTTTTCTTCGTACTTATCAAAAAAATAGTATGGACCGAAGGTGTAGGAATTTTTTTTTGAATTTGAAAACTGCACTTGGAAGAACAATTGAATGTTACGTTTCCTAAGGATATATACCAAACATGTATTTTTTGGGGATAGAGTATCGAAACAAAGAAATTCTATGGTCGTATAACGCCAATACCTTGGGGATCGAATTTTCTAGCAAAGAAGTTCTAATACAACACATTCCTGAACCATACAGCCCTATAAAGTAAAATTTCCGAATGAACAGGAAAATAGATATTCTAACCGTTCAAAATAGATTTTGTAGAAGCACAGTAGTACCTACTTCCACATTCCATAACAAGTTTTGTGGAGAAAAAATACCTCGTGATGTAACATAACTTGCTGGAGCAACTCTAAAGGTAGTATTCAGTTTCAGGGCGTTGAAAATGTTGAAATGGTTCGGGAAAGTATAATTTAGTTTCTGATTTAGAAATCAGTCACATTTTCTCGACCTGCGTAATTGATAAAATAATATACTTTATGACTGATTTTCTATGGATGACAGGTCTTGCAAATGCCTCTTTAATGGACACATACATACATCCATGGTACATATCTGCTGTAGCGGAATTCGGATTGAGAGCTGAGTATCTAGATTGATTGAGTCTAATTTTAAAGTAGAACTTTTGACACCTTGACTACCGTCGCTCCTATGACTGCGTTATCATATTTCAAAATATAAATTTAGCTACCATAATCATTTTAATGGCATAGTCATGTTGACTTAAAATCATATTAATATAGATTATACAGGGTGTTAATGAACTTATGTCAAATATTTTTACCACATGTCCGTTATGTCAAAAAGAGGTAAATACACGGATTTGTTTTGAGTAAAATGTAATGTTAAAATCTGAGTTACGTCAGTTGTACGCGGAGCGCAAATGGCTCCTGTGCCTGGTGGGTTAAACTGACGAACGATCCTAGCTGTTGCACTAAGTGTTGCGAGTATAATTCAATGCCGGTCGGGGCATACAGCCCGCGGATTAGTTGTTTCTCGCAACACTGGCAATTAAAAACATGAATTACGTCAACATTGCAAGAAGCCACCTTTGAGAACTGCTGTTTTTCATAGAAGATGTTCGATGTACCCAGTATTTGCTTACACACAAGCTTCAGCGCGAAGTATCCAATTCGCTCCCACGCGTTGCAACATTGCCACGTCCTCTCGAATCGTATTACAAGCTTCGGCAATACGATTTCGCAGTTGGCCGATGTCACAAACTTCCGTGGAATACATAACACTTTTCACATCCCATAAAGGAAAGTTTAAAGGGGTGAGGTCCTGGGGGCGGAGGGGTCATCTAACTAGACCGTCGCGACCTATTCAGCGATCGGGAAAAGTAATGTTTAGAAAGTCGCGCACACCGAAAAAAGTGAGAACATTGCCGAACATTTAATGGCACGTCTTCCAATAACTCCGGCAAGCGATTTTGCAAAAAATCTAGATACGAAGCACTGTCTAAGCGTCTAGATAATGCAAAAGGTCCGATTAAAGTGTCATTAACGATACCGGCTCACATGTTCACTGAAAACTGTTGCTGAAAGGCATCGCGACCTATTTCGTGTGGATTTTCGATAGTCCAGTGGTGTATTGTGGACGTTACGTACACTATTTCGACTGAAACGAGATCTAAAATCATCTCGACATTTAAGATTCTTAGTGGTCGCCCTGGGCCACCGTCGCGACCTCGACGCGTTTGTACTTCACCGGTGTCCAAAACTCTTTGCGTTACAGCAACAAATGTTCGCGTTGCGGGGGCACGTCGTTCAGGATATCTTGCACGATACACTTGACAAGCTTTGTGGGCATTTTCGTTTGCTTCGCCATAAATTATGAGCATATAATATTCGCGATTGCTAAATAAATGCGCTATTATCAAAAGAAAACTTGGAAATACGGCTATTAAATGTACTCTCAAAAAACATCACAGCAATCACTACAACAATGCATTACAAACTGACTTTTAAATACAGTCCAGCTTCATAAGAAACCTACAAACTCGTGAAAGTGTTACAGAATATTTGCTAAGTACTCGCTGCAATAAAATACATGTATTTAAGCAGTTCCAAAACAGTTTTAAACACATTTTTAATTAGCTTTTTTCTCTATGACCTATTAACTTAGTTTTTGCTCATTTTTCACTACTTTCAATTGTTCACATAAGTTCATTAACACCCTGTATGCTAACTTAAAAGTGACAGATTATTATGACACATAAAAATTTTCTTCGGTAGGTATGAGCTTTATTTAAAATTAAAATAAAAACCTACTACTTATCAAATGTTGAGTGTCAAAATTGTAATATCACTTTTATAATTACTCTAAATGATACAGTATAAAAATTAACTCGTTACAATTTTTAAAGTACCGCAAGAATCAAATTGTTTACAAATACATAAATGTTGGGAAAGTATTTATAGTATCCAGCTGCAATAGAAACATTTGTTGATTTTGCTATACCTATGGGTTCTGTAATTCAGTTTTCCCATATCACTGTTTCATACGACACTATGCTGGGCTTTGCAGTTCAGTTTTTTTACATGTCTAACAGCTCTAACATGTCCTTTTTCATACAATACGAAAACCTGATTTGGGTTACTTAAACATAGAGACGTGACAATATCTTTCAATACAAACAAAAAAAACTCACCTATTCCTTCGACAATACACGCCAAAGTTTGTTCTGTATAGGAAGAGCAGGAGAAGTGTGTTTTAATATTGTCGGTTATCGCGGTGTACTCCCCCCGACAGACGTCCTGGCAGATATCGGGCACCCTCTCCTGAATGCAGCAGGGGATGTGGTTCCTGCCGTCAGCCATGCAGTTCACTATCGCCGGGAAGTCCGTTTCGCATTGCTCAGGATCCTGGCCAGTCGTTCCTGGAACATGGAGGTAGTTTGTAACAGTTTCAGTCCCAGCACCAGTTAGACCAGTTAGGGGAATACAACGTAAGAGAATATTGGAAGTCTTTGATTCGATGTAATAAACTCTCTCGTGATGTCAGGTTGGATCTTTCTTATAATGAAAATTAATATTGAACAAAAAAATATCTAACAACTAGTGTAAAAAGTTAATATTTATGACATGCGGTATGAAAATTAGTACAAGTTCCATTTTTGAAAAGCTTCAGGTTAATGGAAAAGTTCATAAATACATTTGGGTGAGAAATAAGATAGGTTTAAGGAACGTAATTTTTTATAAATTGTTCCAAAAAATTTTTGTTAAAAAGTTTTGTTACACAACATGTGTAAATTATGTATTTTACTGCAAAAATTACGAGCACCTATATTTAACATACCTTCCAAAATACTCTGTATATTGCAGAAGCCCAGACAAACCGAAGAGACATTCTTCCCCATGCAACAGTCTGTGTAATTATGATTTCTGCTGCTGAAGCTTTGCCTTGAATCTTCAAACTGTGGCATCATTTCCGTAGAGTTGTTAGGAGGTAGCATGGCCTTTGACAGAACTGAAAAAATTAATAACACACTTAAATAATCTCTAATTCTTTTCATAAAACGACAATATATTTAAAAAAATACCTAAAGCGCTACAAAGAGCTAATATCAATCACGAACTACATAGATGCACATGGTATGCTACTGTGCTTGCTACAATACAAAAATTTTATACAAGAAAATGTACTGTGGTGACAAAATAATACAAAAAGAATAAAATCACTTATTTGTATAACAAGGCATATTTAACAAAATATTTTTTATTAGAATAGAAAGGTTTTACAAAAAGAATTTTCCTCACGAAACGTGCATTTCCCGTTTCGTACTCACCACTAAGTTTGTGAAAACTCCTGACGATGGGGCTGCTGTTCACTTCACATACGTATACTCCGGAATCCGTGGGCTTGGCAGTTTTTATGACAAGCACCCAGACATCTCCACCGGATGGTAGTTCAGAGGACCCATCTGAAACATCTATAGAAAATATTCGTTGGTACTAAACATTGCCATACCATTAACATAATGGAATGCCCAATAAAGAAGCGTATTTCTAGACCAAATTTAAGATAATTAGGTAATGGGTGCTGATGCCGATTATCCCTGTCGGTTCTTGAGTAATCGTCCCTAATTTTGTTTAGAAATAAAGGAGGAAGGAGGAGAGAGAGAGAGAGAATAAACAATCTCATATTAAAACCTTGGTCACTTTGGCTATGAAAGTATCACCATATATTTTTTGAACCATAACATTTATTATCCAATTCACTTATTGATACTTTGAGAAATTAGTGCATTTAACTTTTTTCTATAAATATTTCATAAAAGTTACTGTTTTTATTGCAATATTCTACTCATACTATTTGCGCCATCATCAGCAGAACTGACTCAGACTGCTATAAGTAGGAAATAATTGATTTTCGGACCCAAGTACCATGAAGACTTTTGGTCAGTAACACAAAACCAATTTCAGCCAATTTGACCGAGCCCACATTTTCATAAAGAACGTGAGGGGTCCTTTGCATAGAGACAAATAATTTTTGTGATTAATAAATGTAAGTATTGAAAGTACCTTGTGTTGCACGACAATGCTGGCAAACTTAGTAACAGACTTGACTGAACCAGTATTTGTCTTTGTACATATCATCTTCTCTTTTGAATGAGAAAAAATATCGAGAAACTTTTTTAATAAATGTTTTTCAAAAAAATGAAGACACAAGATGTTAAAAAATTACGAAATTGCAAAAAATATTTTCGATGGCTTGTGGTTACCTGCCTGTTCTTTCCATTCTTCTGTGTTGACTGCCGATCAGTTCTGGTTCACCCTGTATGTACTCGTCATGTATATACTCGTAATTAAGAAAAATATTTTTCGTTTTTCTTTTAATCTGACTCTATCCAAGCGGGAAACTTCCCCATCGAAGTTTCCTTATCAAAAAATTACGTTTTAAACTACAATTATCGGTCTCGATTTCGCTTCGCGTCACGTGACGTTCGATCGCGCGCCGGCCATACAAAGTATCAAAAGTTCCGCCAGCTATCAGGAAACCGACCCGTTGAAACTTTAGTTTTCCCCCTTTTGTATTTAATTTAGCCTTCCTACACATTTTACGATAAATTGAGAAACTTACGTTCGGCCCTCTCTTGACTCACATAATTGACTGTTGTAATTCAGAGAACGGAACTTTTAGGTTTCGGGTAACTTTTGAGGAGTTACGCTATCGCAACATTGTTCTAAAGACACATGTTGGGGAAAAGGTTTAATGCTGGATTTTTAGAAACCCAACAGTTCTGCTTTATAATAATCAATTTCTGCTAAATTCTTAAGAATAATACATGCATCAACCCTATTTTGTACATTTCTGTATTCGATATGAAGATAGTTGCGTTTTACAAAAATACAGGGAGTTCTGTTTAAAGCTCTCTATCAAAATATCTCTAAAACAAAGAAGATATCTTATTTATCTAGATAATGTTGCATAATACACCTAAATTACTTAAATTCTGAATATAAATGATATTACTCTTCATAACGATGTAGATGGGGCAGCGATACAAAGGAAATTTTCAGTGACAGGAACCTTCAAAGGGAGTAATCGTGAAGTTAAAAGAAGCACATAGTTTCATTAAAGAATCTAGTACTTAATATGAATGATATAAAATCACTTCCGAAAAAGTTGTGAGTACACATGTCTGTAAGTGACCCATTTGAAGTATTACGTCAAGAGATCTAACAGTTGCAAGGACAAAAAACAGACGCTGGACGCACCAAGGTTCCAGGAAAAGGTCCACGGCAGATTGGTGCCAGGACCAGATACATATACCTGCGAGCGACTCCACACCAAGAGGACTCTTCAGCGAACGCTCACTCCGACATTTCTTCTCACTGTACTATAGTTTTCAATAAAAAACTTTTATGTTACCGTTGAGAGAGAGTTTTATTTTGCTGCACACCGACAGCAACCCTCAAAGTTACAACAACTTTTCTTCTTCGTAAAAGTACGTGTAGGCTCGTATATCTCGAAAGCCAATGATTTTTCGAAAATTGTGTACGAAGTCAATTATAATTAGGTGTAAAAAATCTAACCAAAGCCTCTTCAGACAAAACAAGGAATTATTCTATTATACCTCAATACTAAAAGATCTGGACTTCAAAGAAATTCTTTTCTCCATGTTTTTCACGATAACTCATTAATTTTTTAAGATACATGAATATAATACAATACATAATATAATTTAATACATGATAATATAATACATACTATAAT